GGGGGGGGGGGGGGGGGGAATAAGATAAATTATATTTTAACCCCCTAAAATCTATCCCTTGTCTCACATTAGCTCTCAACTCTCACAATCCTCATATTGCATGCCAAGCTATGATTATTAGTTTCAAATGGCCCCCTCAACTATCACGATCCTCATAATTCATTCAAATTATGATTATTGGTTTTACATTACCCTAGATATATACCTTGAAACACATTTGGATATTTCCATTATTCCGGATTTAGAACATAATGGATGGTTGGTTTTGGAGTAATATAAAATCAATTCAAATAGTTGAAAGGATAGCTTGAGAAATTCAATAGAATTGAGGTCATAGTCGAGAGGGTTAAAGTGTAATGTTTCCATGCCAAAAAAATACGACCATATACCTGATCATCAAACACTAGTTTCTTGAAAATTGTTCCTACTTCGAATGGATTGTCTTACTAAGTATTCATCGCAACTACAAGAGTATTTAGTGGCAAGATTATTCAGGTATATTCCACATCAACACAATATAAAATTGGTAAAAAAAAGACCAAAAAGTCACAGGAAACCAACAGATTTGGCTGAGGGAGATTTTTTTTTTTTGGTTCAACCATCAGGATTGTCCGGGCAAGTCAAAGGCAGCCATCCATGTCAGGACTCGTGAGGAGGGATAAATCTCTCATGGTGGGACGGATTGCAAAGATTTAAATTCAGAAGGTTTGGGTTTACGCTGATCCGTTAACCAAAGTTGTTCAAGTGTACAAGCAAGAGCAGAACCTTGGCAAGAGTACAAGCAAAAGATTACCTTGGCAAGAGTACAAGCATGAGCAGAACCAGCAACACCGGCACCGACGATAATGATTTCCGGCAGGCATTCACCGGTTTTAGAGCTCGTGACAAATTGGTTGCTTTCTCTCTCCATCTCCATTGAAGCTATGTTACTCATTTTATTCATCCACAAACTCTTAAAGTAAAACCCAACAAAACCCAACAGAGTGATAATTCCACCCAGAATAAAAAGATCAACCATCTTCAAATCAGTGAAGAACTGATAATTGCTTTCTCTCTCTCTCTCTTCAAGTTTCTCTCTCTGGAACACACAAATACTTTTGTGTTTTGAGTTTGAGATAATAAGTTAGCTGAAATGGGGCATTTTATAGGATTTGGCACTAAACCTTAAATCTTGATGACAAAGGAATTGTCAAGCCGCGGTTTAACAACTGTTAACTGTTTTGAAGACCACAGGAAAACTTGGAAATTTCATGGCGCTACCGAACAAATTTCGGAATAAATCCATAAAATTTTAGAAATGAAGCATGGACGTTACTGCTTCATATGGTGTTTTAACAGGTAATGTCATCAGCACTTGGAATAAAAGTTTGTCACGGTCCAAACACTTCGTTGAATAAAAAAAAATATTCATTAAAATCCTCTTGTTTTAAATGTGGGTTGCTGAGTTTTGTGAGGTTAAGAACGGTGTACCCATCCTTAACATAGATTTCCAAGTGAACTTTAGAGCAAATTAAGGTTACACAAAATTTATTATCCGTCTTACTTCGACTCATATCTATTTACTGTTCTAGTCTTTTATCTTTTTTCATCACCTAACATGGGTAGTTCAATGATGATTAAAATTTATAGAAGATTGAAATTATTTTTTTTTTTAAAAAAAATAATTGAATAAGGGTTGGTTAATTGGTAAGATAATTAAAAAATAATTATATTAACTACGTGTCAATTTTTGATTGAAGAATACTTAAATTTTTATAATTAATTAGATAAAAATTTTAGAAACTAAGAAAAGTACGAGAGATATTTACTGGAAGTCAAGATAATAGAAAGGGGATAGAAGACAAGACTAGAGATTGTCTCATATTATTATTAGTGAAAGGAGGTAGGCTTTGTATTTTTTCTTTACCACCTTTATTCCACGTTCCTACCTCAAGGTATGGAAAGCCTTTTTGAGTATCTTCGGTGTTGAGTTCATCTCGAGGGGAGGGGAGGGGAGGGGAGGGGAGGGGAATTGTTCAATAGTATGGGCATTTCTTCTTATAAGAGATAGGGTGTGTTAAAGCCGCTTCACTAAATTATGTGGCAATTTTGACTACAAGATTAGGGTTTTAGCTCGATGCCTTAGAATGGAAATTGCTTCTCAAACTCTCTCACTCTCTCCCACAAAAAATGAGTGTTACATAAATTAAGGGTGTATGTGCTCACTTAAAAGATTTTTTTAAAATTTCTTATGTGCCAAATTTCAAGTTAGTTACTTTCTCATTCACTTTTTAATCTATTTGAGAAAATAAATATAGTACGTTAATCTACTCGTTGAAATTTAAATACAAGGTTTTCTATCATGAGATTATCCTAAACCACTGTCAACACAAGAGAACAGAAGGGAGAAAAAGATATATAAGGAGTAATGCTAGATACTCATATATAAGAGTAGGCAGGGAGGAAAGAGAAAATTAAATAATAAACTGCAATTATTGAGAGAGATAAAAGGGTTAAAGGATATATGGGAGTAGCACCTAAGTGCTGAAGAGTTGCATGGGGAAAATAGGTTAGGTGATGTTTATAATACTTTACAGTTGGAGTGATATCTTCTAGCTCAAGTGTTTTTTGAATTATATTTGCTGCCTGTAATGAAGTTGAGCAGCTCTTTGAATTTTTCTATTTTTCATTGTTCAACTTTTGTAGAAGGATCTGGACTGTTTATAGGAAAATTCTTTGAAAATTGGAACTGATGAGTTAGAATGAAGAAAATATTCGGTGCTTATAAGGCATCTGGTGCTCACATCCGATGAGAAATTGCCACAACATTGACTTGTGGGACACATATTTTGATTTTTTTTTTTTTAAAAAAAGTCGGACAACTTTACGAGGGATAGTAATTGATTGAAAATGTATAATATTTTATTCAATATTTTTACATTACAGATTTCTCGTGTCACCTGCTCAATTGAGCCCTTTTTCACAATATAGAACCTTACAGATCTCTCGCTCTCTCTCTCCCCCAACAATCTGAGAGCCATTACACCAACCCTCCCAGGCTAGGCACTCTAGCTGTCTAAACGCTTAGAGACTTGTTGCACTTAAAGATGTTGAGGCATAAACATTTAGCCAACACCCTTCTTGAGCTCTTCATTCATAGTGTCTCACTTCATGTAAACCACCAACAAAACAATCTTTAGCTTATATGTTTTAAGCCCTTGTATCAAACTTTACCATTACTCTGCAGCTCATTAGTTTCACCCTCTTTGCTGAAAATTATTCCACTCAGCGTGCCCGGCTCGGCCTCTTCCAACAGCTGCACCACCATTCTCATGGAGGGTCGTAGTGCCGGAGTCCTCGCTGTGCAGTGAATTGCAATTCTCAACACATTCTCTGCATCTTCCTTTAGGGTCTTGGAAATACAGGAATCCACCATATCAACCACACTGCCTCTGTTTCTCATTTCACTGCATACCCACTGGACTATGTCCTTGCTCTCTCCAAATTCCGGTTCCACGGGCTTCTTTCCCGTTACTAATTCCATCAGAACTACCCCAAAGCTGTAGACATCGCTCTTCTCAGTCACCTTGTAAGTGTACCCATACTCTTCACCACCAAAACAAAGAGACACAAAAATCATGTTAATGCCAAGTTATCATTTGATTTGAGCCCAACATGTGAAAAAAGTGTTGGGCTGGGCCCAATAATAATTGGCCACGAGGGGTGGTGGGCTGGCTACAGGCTAGAGGTCTTGCACCATGGCCCTTCCCATCGCTCGTGACATGGACTGCCAGACGGGCTATAGCACCGGATGGATCAGTCCAGTCCATAGACTGTGTATAAAAATAGGCTGAAATATACCCTAAAAGTTGTAATTTATAATGTCAACCTATACAACTGATGGGCGGTTTACAAGCTTGGTAGGCAGGGAATTGACAATGTCATGGCTCTTCTGTGGCCCTATTATTTTTGGGCCTGGTTAGGCTGTGAGTGATGCAAATGGTTTGGGCTTTTTCACTACCACTGGCTAGCCCGACCCATGGACAACACCACATAGAGACATTCAAGGTGAGAAAAATGCCAAGTGAGGCTTACCAGGAGCAATGTAGCCGTGAGTCCCTGCAATGATATGTGTAGAGTCCCAAGCAGCATTGGCCCGTACAATCTTCGCTAGACCAAAATCTGCAATCCTGGGCTTCATCTGCTCATCCAACAGAATATTGCTTGACTTCACGTCACGGTGTATCACCGGTCTATCACAACCATGATGCAGGTACTCCAACCCCCGGGCGGCCCCCACAGCGATCTCATATCGAACCATCCAATCCATCTCAATCTTTCCACTCGTATGTAACCGGTCCCACAAACTTCCATTGGGCATATACTCATAAACTAGCAGATTCGAATCCTCACTTGTGATGCTACAGTATAACTTTACTACATTCACATGTCTAATTGAGCTCAATGTGGCCACCTCGGCGTCATACTCTGGTGACCGGCCCTTCCCGTTTCCCAGCATTGCCATGCTACTCCGGCAACTATTCCGGTCACTGGAGTACGACTTCCATATGTGCTTCACAGCTAGTTGGTTTCCATTTCTTAGTATGACCTTGTACACATTTCCTGAGCCACCCTTGCCAATCAAATTTTCCTTTTTGAGTGCTTTTACTACTTCCTCTTCACTAAAGCTTAGTAAATGAAACTGTTTCATAGCCCAAGAATCATGTCGATTAATCAGAGGGTCCTTATTTTTGGGCCTAAACTTCACATAAATGAAACATATAAGTGACATAACCAACACACTAGCCCCAGCAATGAGGCAAAGTATCATTGTCCTTGCATTGCCAGAACTGCTGGAATCTGACGAACATCGCCGGAGATTTCTCATACTCTGGCTACATAGGCCTGGATTTCCAGCAAAGCTACCACTAAACGCATTTATGGATAAAGATTCCGGTACACTGCCAATCAACCTGTTGTTCGATAGATCAAGAACAGTTAGTCTCAACGACGACAAGCTCATTGGAATTTCACCAGAAAGCTTGTTATCTGATAGATTTAATGAGTTCAAACTCGGTAAATAACCAAGAGTAGCCGGAATTTCCCCAGAAAGCGAATTGCCAGAGAGACCTAAATCATTGAGAGACACACATGAGCCTAGTGAGCTTGGTATAGCACCTGAAAGCAGGTTATCCTCCATATGAAGACTGCCCAATTTCTTCAATTTGCCTATTGATTCTGGAATTTGACCAGAAAACTGATTCGAGCTCAAATTAATTGCCACAAACGATGAAGCTCCTGATATATTCGTCGGTAATTCGCCAGAAAATCCATTATTAGCTAGAAAAAGCTGAGCTAGAGACTTGGCTTCACCAATATTGGAAGTCACTGGACCTTTGAACTGATTCAAAGTGAGATCAATGATCTTAATTGCCGGCAAACTCCAAATTCCTGGAGGAACTATACCCGAAAGTGAATTGTTGTTTATTCGCAGACGAACCAACGAAGAACATTCAGCATAGCTTTCTGGTATTCCACCATTGAAATTGTTCTGGAGCATCAGAAGATCAGTCAATGTGCCTTTCTTGCACATATCAGGAGGTATATGACCAGTTAACAAATTTTCTGAAACATCAATGTATAAGAATTCAGCCCATGACCCAATTTTTGGTGGGAGAGAGCCAGTGAACTTGTTTGTGTAGAGAGAGAGTTCTTGGAGGAACTCGAAATCACCAAACTCAGCCGGAATCTCACCGGAGAATTGGTTTTCGAAGAGCTGCAACGATGCAATATGGGTTAAATTTTTGAGCTCTGAGAGGTCACCTTCAAGGTTGTTAGTGGAGGCATCAAAGTTAACTAGATTCATGAGTCCACCAAAGCCCACCGGAAACTTTCCGGTGAGTTCATTGTTGTAAAGCTCAAGCTGGCGAAGATTAATCAGTTTGGTAATTCCCACCGGAATTTCGCCGAACAAGTGATTATCAGAAAGCTCGAGGTTTCCCAGAAGAGTAAGATTTCCAATTTCCTCTGGAATTTTCCCTCCAATACTACAGTTTGTGAGGTAAAGCCAGTACAATTTCTCAAGCTTTAACACTTCTATTGGAAATAAACTTTTATCAAACGGGTTGTCACCAAGGCTCAAGAAAGTGAGGCTCGTAAGATTTGCCAGTGATTTCCATGGAAATTGACCGGAAAATCCACTGCGATTCAAATTCAAGAACTTTAATTGGCTTAAAGAAGACAAATCCGGGACTTTACCGGAAAATGAATTCTCACCCAAATCCAAATACTGCAAGGTTTTACAATTTCTCAAGTAATCAGTGATGCTTCCATTCAAGAAATTTGAGCCCAGAGAAAGTTTTTCGAGGGATTTCAGAGAGCAAATTGAATCAAAAGGAAGAGTCCCAGACAGATTCTCTTGAGAAAGATTGATTTCTTTCACAATTCCGTTGGAGTCACAGACAATTCCGGTGAACTTGCAGACAGAATTTTCCGGCGTCCACGAATCAAAAATGTTAGTCTTCGAGTTTTCAAGAGAGGATTTCAGATTAAGAAGAGTCTGAAGTTCATCGGACTGGCATGGACAGATGAAGAACAAAATGCAGAGGAGGGTGAGAAATCCGGGAAAGGGGTGTCGCCGGAAAATGGATTTGGCCGACATGGTGACCGGTGGAGGAAGGAGGAGGAGGTACGTCTGCTTTTTTTCTTGAGGAAGTAGGCATACGAAGTGTGGAAATGAGACCAAAGACGAAAGTCAAATTACACTTTTTGGCACGAGGGTGGGTGGCTAAGTAGTTAGTTTTCCTTAGACAGTGACATTTACAAGCATGTGGAGAAAAAGGAGTAGACTATGCAACCATAAAAAAAAAATTTGGTAACATACTCCCTATTTATAAATTTATATATATTTTTTTTTATAATTTTGGAGTTATTTATAATTTTGTGGAGTCATTTAGAAATGATCAATCGCAAGCAGTCTCAAAAGAAAAAAATTTGGTTTCATAGTGTCTGGGCCAACTTACGCGCTTCTCGATTAATTCTTTCTTCAATTCTATCAAAAATAAGTCATTTAAGGCAAAATTAGAGTATTCATATAGTTTGATTTCAAAAGGTTATCGAAATTTGAATTCAGAATATTTAAATTTATTGCAATCTCAGAATTTAAAAATGATTCCCAAAAACTTATAATTTGAACCATAAATATTTATAAAATAAATCCAGAAGTTATAGAATTTGTTAAGAATAGATCTTTTTCTAGGCCTTCCTAGACGAAGTAGGATGGAAAACTAGAGACTATCCGATCCCACCACCGCCATCCAAACATAACCTTATGAAGTTACTTCCAAATGGAATTGTCAAAAAATCCAAATCCAGTAGATAATTTTATGTGCATGTTGTAATTATATCCCAAACATCTGTACAAACGAGGAATTAATTTGAGAATCGGAGAAAAATGTTATATCTAGTGCATTCATTTACTCTTATAACGAGATCTAAAAGATAAAATTGATAGATAATCTATTATTCATCTTAAAAAAAGTTGATATCTGAACTCAAACCGACCATGTCCCCTTGAGCATTTATTGATCGAGATTGAGCCTTTGGATCTAACAAGTAGATGTAAGGGAAAATGCTTTTGAATAAGACCTTGAAAGAAACAAGTGTGGAAAAGTTGAGGGATGAGTTTTCTTTAATTGTTAGTGACATTAACCCCCACATGGTCCCATAGATTTAATGTCGATAGGGTGGTTGGTTTCAAATAGTGTATGCAAATAAGCATGAATCCCTAATGCTTATCATACTCACCCCCCCTCCCCCCCAAAAAAAAAAAA